GATAGAGTAACTGCAACTATCAGCCCACTGCATAGAGTAACTGCAATACACTTATTGCATAAAGTAGCTGCAACTTCACCACTGGATAGAGTAACTGCAGCTTACACCACTGGATAGAGTAACTGCAATACACCATTTGCATGCAGTAACTGCAAATACACCACTGGATAGAGTAATGCAACTACATCACTGCATAGAGTAACTGCAATTACACCACTGTATATAGTAACTGCAACAACACCACTGCATATAGTAACTGCAACTACACCACTGCATAAAGCAACTGTAATTACACCACTGCATAGAGTAACTGCAACTACACCACTGCATATAGTAACTCCAACTACAACGCTGGATAGAGTAACTGCAACTACATCACTGCATAGAGTAACGGCAACTACACCACTGCATAAAGTAACTGCAACTACACCACTGGATATAGTAACTGCAACAACAACACTGCATAGAGTAACTGCAATTACACCACTGCATGTAGTAACTGCAACTACACCACTGGATAGAGTAACTGCAACTACATCACTGCATGGAGTAACTGCAATTACACCACTGTATATATTAACTGCAACATCACCACTGCATATAGTAACTGCAACTACACCACTGCATATAGTAACTGCAACTACACCACAGCACAAAGCAACTGTAATTACACCACTGCATAGAGTAACTGCAACTACACCACTGCATATATTAACTCCAACTTCAAAGCTGGATAGAGAAACTGCAACTACATCACTGCATAGAGTAACGGCAACTACACCATTACTTAAAGTAACTGCAACTACACCACTGCATAGAGTAACGCAACTACGTCACTGCATATAGTAACTGCAATTACAACACTGCAAAGAGTAACTGCAACTACACCACTGCATATAGTAACTCCAACTACACTGCTTCATAGAGTAATTGCAGTGGTGTATTTGTAGTTACTGTATCCAGTTGTGTAGTTTTAGTTACTATATGCAGTGGTATAGTTGCGGTTACTATATTCAGTGGTGTAGTTGCAGTCATTTTATGCAGTGGTGTAGTTGCATTTACTATATGCAGTTGTGTAGTTGCAATTACTGTAAACACTGGTGCAGTTGCAGCTACTATATGCAGTGATGATAGAGTAACTGCAACTACTCCAATGTACACAGTAACTGCAATTACACTACTGAATAGAGTAACTGCAACTACACCACTGCATATAGTACCTGCAACTACACCACTGCACAAAGCAACTGTAATTACACCACTGGATAGAGTAACTGCAACTACACCATTGCATGTAGTAACTGCAATTACACCACTGCATAAAGTAACTGTAATTCACCACTGTATATAGTAACTGCAACTACGTCACTGCATATAGTAACTGCAATTAAAACACTACAAAGAGTAACTGCAACTACACCACTGCATATAGTAACTCCAACTACACCGCTGCATAGAGTAATTGCAGTGGTGTATTTGTAGTTACTGTATCCAGTTGTGTAGTTGTACACAACTACACCATTGCATAAAGTAACTGCAACTACACCACTGCATATAGTAACTGCAACTACATCACTGCATAGAGTAACTGCAACTACTCCACTGTACACATTAACTGCAATTACACTACTGAATAGAGTAACTGCAACTACACCACTGCATAGAGTAACAGCAATTACACCACGGCATAGAGTAACTGCAACTACACCACTTCATAGAGTAACTGCACTTATACAATTGCATATATTAACTGCAACTACACCACTCTACACAGTAACTGTAATTACACAACTGCATCGAGTGACGCAACTACACACTGCATAGAGTAACTGCAACAACATCACTGCATAGAGTAACTGCAACTACACCAATGCATGTAGTAACTGCAACTACACCACTGCATAGAGTAACTGCAACTACACCACTTCATAGAGTAACTGCAACAACATTACTGCATAGAGTAACTGCAACTACACCAATGCATGTAGTAACTGCAACTACACCACTGCATAGAGTAACTGCAACAACACCACTGGTTAGAGTAACTGCAACTACACCACTGTATATATTAACTGCAACAACATCACTGCATAGAGTAACTGCTATTCACTGCAAAGAGTAACAACAATTACACACTGCATAGAGTAACTGCAACTACACCACTGTACACAGTAACTGTAATTACACAACTGCATCGAGTAACGCAACTACACACTGCGTAGAGTAACAGTAATTACACAACGGCGTAGAGTAACTGCAACTACACCACTTCATAGAGTAACTGCAACTATACAACTCCATATAGTAACTGCAACTACACCAATGCATGGAGTAACTGCAACTACGCCACTGTATATATTAACAGCAACAACATCAATGCATAGAGTAACTGCAATTACACCACTGCATATAGTAACTGCAACTACACCACTGGATAGAGTGACTGCAACTACACCACTGCATGTAGTAACTGCAACTACACCACCGCATAGAATAATTGCAATTACACCACTGTGTATAGTAATTGCAACTACATCACTGCTTTGAGTAACTGCAACTACACCACTACATAGAGAAACTACAACTACACAACTGCATACAGTATCTGCAAACATACCACTGCATAGAGTAACTTAAATTACACCACTGGATAGAGTAAATGCAACTACATCACTGCATATAGTAGCTGCAACTGCACCAGTGTACACAGTAATTGCAACTGCACCACTGAATATAGTAACTGCAACTACACCACTGCATGTAGTAACTACAACTACACAACTGGATACAGTAACTACAAATACACCACTGCACAGAGTAACTGCAATTACACCACTGCATAAAGTAACTGCAACCACACCACTGAATGG